GTGAGTAGTTATGTAATCTGTTGATACGATGATGAGTGTTGGTGTAGATACCTGGAGACACAATCTCTGCAAACTACTACCCTCTCTAGACCATAACAACTCTCCACTAACTACCCTCCCTAGACCATAACAACTCCTCACTAACTATCCTCCCTAGACCATAACAACTCCACTAACTACCCTCCCTAGACCATAACAACTCCTCACTAACTATCCTCCCTAGACCATAACAACTCCCCACTAACTACCCTCCCTAGACCATAACAACTCTCCACTAACTACCCTCCCTAGACCATAACAACTCTCCACTAACTACCCTCCCTAGACCATAACAACTCTCCACTAACTACCCTCCCTAGACCATAACAACTCCCCACTAACTACCCTCCCTAGACCATAACAACTCTCCACTAACTACCCTCCCTAGACCATAACAACTCTCCACTAACTACCCTCCCTAGACCATAACAACTCCACTAACTACCCTCCCTAGACCATAACAACTCCACTAACTACCCTCCCTAGACCATAACAACTCCTCACTAACTATCCTCCCTAGACCATAATAACTCCCCACTAACTATCCTCCCTAGACCATAACAACTCTCCACTAACTACCCTCCCTAGACCATAACAACTCCACTAACTACCCTCCCTAGACCATAACAACTCTCCACTAACTACCCTCCCCAGACCATAACAACTCCCCACTAACTACCCTCCCCAGACCATAACAACTCCCCACTAACTACCCTCCCCAGACCATAACAACTCCCCACTAACTATCCTCCCTAGACCATAACAACTCTCCACTAACTGCCGCGACCAGTAAATGCCAGTAACGCCTACCAAATTGCCAGTTAAGTTGACCCAGGGAGCTGCCATCTCGCCATCTCTCTCTCTCTGCTGCGGCAATCTTACAATTTCCAGAGTTCTTCGTTATAAAAATATAACAAAACTACTGTAAAAAATGGTGTATAGTGAATTTGAGAAAGGAGAGGAGGCAGGTGCCGCCTTGGTTGGCTGTAACAAAAACTAAAGTTCTATACCTGACTTTGGAATATAAAAGTTATTTGTGTGTGATGGTGCTGAGTTGGTATGTAAGTTGGGGCTCTTCTCCGGTGGGGCGAGGTTATGGCTCCCAGCGGTGCTGTTGGTGGCTGTGTGTGTGTGTGTGTGGTGGGTGTGTGTGCACTGATGCACACACGCATGTGTGTGTGTGTGTGTGGTGGGTGTGTGTGCACTGATGCACACACGCATGTGTGTGTGTGTGTACTCATACACACATACGTGGGAGGGGAGAGTTTGGGTGTGTACACTCACCTAGTTGTGCTTGCGGAGGTTGAGCTTCGGCTCTTTGATCCCGTTTCTATAACTGTGCATCTACTGGTGTACAAGTTCATGAACCTATTGAGCTCTATCAAATCTACATTTGAAGCTGTGATTGGAGTCAGCCTCCACCATATCACTGCCTAATGCATTCCACTTGCTAACTACTCTTGACACTGAACAATTTTTTTCTAATGTCTCATTTAGGTGCCCAGTTTCCACCTATGTCCCCCCTTGTGCGTGTACCACCCGTATTAAATAATCCCTCCTTATCTACCACGTCAATCCCTATGAGAATTTTGTATGTAGTGATCCTGTTTCCCCGAACACTTTTGTCTTCCATCGTCGATATTGTGGTGGTTTTAATTTAGACCCACAGAGACCTTCCCTGTCTTTGGTCTCAACACAGAGACCATGAGACAGGCGCTGAGGTAAACTCAGTGTGTGTACTCACCTAGTTGTGCTTGAGCTTTGGCTCTTTGGTCAGAGCCAAAGCGTGCGTGCGTGTGCCTCACAGAAGAACCTTGGAGTTATGTCTATCTCTGGATGTTATTGTATATTTTATATTTATGCATTTATCTTCTCATTATTATGAATTGTCTTTGTAGCATTCTTCATCTCCCCATCCAAAATTTCATTATCTGTAGTTGCTCGGGTTAAAGTCGATTTGTTATTTCTCAATTCATATTTCTAGTTTGTCTTCTCGAACACTTTACATTCTTCCTCTGGTCTGACTAGTCTCTAGAGCTTTGTAGTGACGACAAACATTGATACAAAGAGTGGAATAGAGGAGGGGAGGATAGACAGACACCGGGAGGGAGGGAAGCCACATAGATCAACTATATCGAACATTATGTGAATATAAAGTTGTGGAAGGAAGCATTACCCGCCATGAGCCTCTTGGGACCCTTGGTACAGGCGCAGGGAGGGAGAACATGAACACACACTACGGGATGGAGAGACAGAGACAAATCAGATTTTCTCGTCAATTGGAGGTAGTGATGATGTGGTTGACTTTCTCACCCCCTACTACACACGACTCGATAATCGTTCCAGAGGCTGCAGTAGAAGGAACTACTTGACGTAAACTAACATATATACATGATGTATACATACATGTATACTCTTGTAAACACAACTACATGTATGCAATTGAAATCGTAAAGTTTTGGTTTGTTGGGCTTAATCTATCAACCTTTGGAGTGGGTGTTAAACCCGTACTCTCCAGTGGCCATAACAGACAGAAAATAATGTATCAAATTCCCTGAACTTAACCTAACCAAGGCCCCACTCATAGAAAACGTGGTTTTTGTGAGCTGCTGGGATACATCATACTTCGGCCATTAGGGATTTTGACGTCAAAATATTTAGATAAGTACGCTGTAGTTTTAAGCCAAGCAGAAAGGTATAGGCTCAGTGTATATACATCGGAACGTCCTGTACACCTTTCATTATATGCCACACAGACAGTTCCAGCAGTTGTTGTCTTATATTCAACAACTCTGAACAAAGAGATCCATGTAACAGGCTATGGTGAACGCGCAGTTTACTAGACGGTTCCAGTTGTTTTAAGTGTCTAGTAACACTGACTATAGTGAATCCGTAGTGTACTTACCTGGCATAGGAAACGGGTTGAAAGTTCCAGCGTCCCTGGATCAATTTGAAGCCGAAAGAAATTTATAAATACTTGTTACCACAGCTTTTATGTTATTTTGTTTTTATTTTGGAAAGTAAACCAATATTTGTGTACATGCGATATATTTATTTTTTATTTTCTAAATTCCCATATTTTAAAATATTGTCTTTTACGTTAAGCAATTTTGTTATAGTTAGAAAATATGATCGATCTTTCAACTTTAAAACCGAACAACTTTATTTGATCCAAATTTTGTTATAAAGTTTTCTCGTTTAAAACATGTGTTTAAAAATATTTCTCGGTTCAGTCCCACATCATACCGTGCTGTTCTTTTGGTTCCATGTCATACTGAACCGTTTGGTTTCGGTTCCATCTCGTACTGTGCTGTTCGAATTAGTTCCGTCGGACATCGTGCTTAGTGTTTCAGCAGTTTTTAAACGAGTTTATGCAAAAAATAATGTTAAGATTAAATCTGGAAAAAGGTTTAGTCAGTTGGTTAATGAATTTTTTATATTTAATAAAATCATAATTAAAAGAATCGACAATTTAAAAAAAAACTCATACAGGTGAAGAAAATAATATATTTAAAAGATTCACTTACTTTGTAGGGTGTATTATGCAGTGCATTATGGTTAAACATCTTTAAATGGGATTAATATTAGTGATTATAAAGCTATTTTAAACTCACAAAAATGCAATTGTGTTTTACTGCCCGAAATGCAGCGCCATAAATTACCAACTCAATTATTCATCAATAAATAACATTGTATATACTTGTCAATGCCTTGCAATCACTTATATACGACCGATCCCATAAGTCCGCCGATTTGTTTTATGGCAAACTTTAAAATTATGGCTGATAAGCGAGACCTTTCTTGGGCGGTGCAAAACAAAGGTTAGTAATTTTAAAAATAAACGCGGGAACAACCTCTTAAAGGTTTAAGTATATGTCGAAGCCTGAGTCGAGTACTGTGATCAGGTATATAGTATGATTTAGAGCGGGGCCAACGAGCTGCTTCAAGCAACTGCCTCGTGGATGTTGCTTGAAGTATAGAAGATCTCTCAGAACCCAATCAAGGTATACTGAAGTATTATATCATTATCAACACCTTCACCACCCCCACTACAGCCCCCAACACTACCCCTTACACCACCACCACCCTCCACACAAGTGTCTCTCCACCACCACTGCTCCCCCTACCACCCCCTCAACCCCCCAGGCTATCAATAAGATGGACGAGCCCCGGGGCCCCTCGACAATTACTTTGGTGATGTTGGCTCAACGTTCACAGGCGGTGACACTTGTTATTTCTGGTGATCCTGGGGGAGGGGCTGTGACTTGGTGATCCTGGGGGAGGGGCTGTGACCTGGTGATCCTGGGGAGGGGCTGTGTCCTGGTGATCCTGGGGGAGGGGCTGTGTCCTGGTGATCCTGGGGGAGGGGGGCTGTGGCCTGGTGATCCTGGGGAGGGGCTGTGACCTGGTGATCCTGGGGGAGGGGGCTGTGGCCTGGTGATCCTGGGGGAGGGGCTGTGACCTGGTGATCCTGGGGAGGGGCTGTGTCCTGGTGATCCTGGGGGAGGGCTGTGTCCTGGTGATCCTGGGGGAGGGGGGCTGTGGCCTGGTGATCCTGGGGGAGGGGCTGTGACCTGGTGATCCTGGGGAGGGGCTGTGTCCTGGTGATCCTGGGGGAGGGGCTGTGGCCTGGTGATCCTGGGGGAGGGGCTGTGTCCTGGTGATCCTGGGGGAGAGGGACTGTGTCCTGGGGGAGGGACTGTGTCCTGGTGATCCTGGTGGAGGGACTGTGTCCTGGAGGAGGGGCTGTGGCCTGGTGATCCTGGGGGAGGGGCTGTGTCCTGGTGATCCTGGGGGAGGGGCTGTGTCCTGGTGATCCTGGGGGAGGGGCTGTGTCCTGGTGATCCTGGGGGAGGGGCTGTGTCCTGGTGATCCTGGGGGAGGGGCTGTGTCCTGGTGATCGATCCTGGGGAGAGGGGCTGTGTCTGTGTCATTAATTATAATCTTACTCAACGTATCGA